ATGTTGATACTTAAATACCTTATTTATGTATTGTTCCCTTTAACCAATTTTGGTAGTAATCATGCTACGGATATGATCGTTTACATAAGAGTAAGTGGAAATTAATGGATTACAGCCCTCTTTGGTACACATTAATTTTTTTATTATTCTTCTTCTACTTATTTTCAACAACACATTCTTCAATAAAATAATATTTTTCATCACATCAATAACTTTTCTTTCATTTTTAACTACATATTCTCCATCAATCTACTATTCAATAATACATTCCTTCAAAAGAATGTGTCCCAAACACACTCTACATTTCAAACATTAGATATTATATATTTTTTATTTCAAATGTAAGAAGCTTACCTAAATAATAAATAAATATAAAATCTCTACAATATATAAAAGAGCAAAGTTTATTACTATTCATAAGGCATCATCTTTGTGTCATGTTGATGTCATATATACTAATTTTACCTTTTTCATTTTTTTCCTCTCAAGTACTACGTAGTTTTCTTCTCACATGACAGGGTTTCTCCATTTCTCCACACAAGCTCATATACCTCTTTACTCTTGTCTTTACACAACAATTCAAGACTTTTCCTTTCTTCTTCTTTCTTTACTATTTGTTATTTAATTTCGCATCTCTTTTCTATTTGAATTTCCTTAGATCTTATTTTCCTCTCTTTTATTTTCTGTCTCTACTTCTCAAATCGCCTTTCACTTTCTCTCCATCATTGTTCTTATTGTCCATTTAAAATCAAATCATAGGTAACAAAATCACAGATTATTTTCACTGTTTGTTTTTCTCTATAATTCAGTCATCCTGTATTTCCTTTGGCAAACAATTTTTCTTTGGAGCTTCTTCATTTCTTCATATGATTGGAACCCTATCTCCCAAATTTCAATCGATGCTGTCATATTCGCTTCTTCTTTTCTTAAAATCCAAAAACCCTACAGTTGCGAAAATCAGATGTGGGTTTTTAAATCTTCGATTAAGTCCACCAGTGATGAGGAAATGCTGTCATGGAATTAGGGGGTTTTGGGGCTACATGTTTGTCTTTTTGAACCTTTTGTTTTGATGGTCAAATGAAATATTGATTCCATTTTGATGTATGTGGCAAGCTCAAAAATCAGTTATAGAAATTAGAATTTAGAAGTTTAGTTAGTTTGGTTACTATATTCGAATAAAGAAAATGAAAGATTGGAATGCAACTAAATCGAAAATTAGAATATCATAGCCCGTTTGATTCTCATTATTGTAGAATTAGAATGAAAAATATAGCCGTTATCGGGTGAAATTCAAAATTGATGGCTTGATGATAGAAATTCAAAATTGATGGCTTGATGTGATGGATAACGATCATATTTTCCATTTTTATGGATGAAAAATGAGAAACAAACGGAGGCTTAATCAACTTGGATTGTGCTTTTCTGGAATTCGTGGTAAAAGGATTAAGGTCATTGTAATATTTCTCTACTTCTCGATTGTTTGGAAGGGTTTGTAAGACTTGTGCATATCTTTGATCTACAACTTTCACGAGTATTTTTCTTGTAAATAAATTATT